ATTAGTTTTCAAATTTTGTTTTGGTTTGGCCTTTAGAGTTTGTTTCTCTGGTATGACCTTCTCATGAACAACTTTAGTACCAGAAGTACTAGCATGGCAATTGGGGCTCAGAGTCTGTGGCACTATGACCTTTTTAGCCTTAGCAACTTTGGTGCTAGGCCTTACAGAAGGCTCACCAGACTCTGGTTCAACATATCCAAGACCAGCGGTGAAGTTATGAGAATCACCAATATTCTTCATGGAAGATTGCATCTTTAGAAGACTATTATATCTATTCTCAAGTTCCTCAATGTCTCTTATTCTTTTCAGAAGAGACTCATTTTCAGCTTTCAGTCTATCTCTTTCCTCAGTTAAGAGATTAAGTTTACACTCAGTCTCTTTCCTTAGATCAGAGATATCAACTCTCAGCCTACTGTTCTCTTCTTTAACAAAAGAATAAGTGGCTTGGATAGTTTGGAACTCTTCCCAGAATGATGACATTGGATCATCATTTAAGGCTGTGCCTACCGAAGAAGAAATAGAATCAGAAGTGGAGCATACCTCATCATCTGATTGTGCCATGAGGCAAAGATCTTCAGTTTCTGCATCCAAGCAGCAGAATGCTTCATCAGAGTCGGAGTCTGAGCTGGACTCAGATTCAGAAAGTGGATCTCTCTCAGCTTGTTCTGAGACAAATGCTCTTCTTCTTCTGTGTTGATCATCTGGTTTCTTTTCATCTTCATGTCCTTGCTTCTTGGACACTCTTGGATAGGGGCAGTTTGCTTTGAAGTGCCCAGGCTGTCTGCAGTTGTAACAGAGGTACTCTCCATTGCTTTCAGAGGACTTGGTCTTCTGATGTGGTCTTCTGATGGAAGATGGACTCCTTCCATCTTTCTTCATAAACTTCTTAAACTTTCTGGCAAAAGCAGCCATATACTCATCAGATAATAGAGTAGAGGGGTCAAAGTCACTTACCTTTGAGGTGCTAGCAGTGAGAGCAGTGGTGGTCCTCTCATCAGGAACTTCTTCCTTCTCTTCATGCATCTCAAACTCATAAGCCTTGAGATCAGAGATGAGTCTTTCAGTGGCATAAGTCTTGATGTTCTTGCTTTCCTGGACTGCAATCACCTTCATCTTCCAGGCTGAAGGCAGTCCCCTGAGGATCTTCATGTTGACCTCTTTGATGGTGAGCTCCTTCCCAAGCTCAGAAATCTCACTGATGAGAATCAGCAATCTCTCATGCATCTTAGCAATGCATTCTTCTGGTAGGAGTTTGAAGTCATCAAACTTCTTCATTGCAATGGTCAGCTTGTTGTCTCTTTCTTGTTCATCTCCTGCTCCAATCTCATCCAGCTTGTCCCAGATTTCTTTGGCAGTTCTGCACTTCTTTATTCTATTGAAATATCTTTCATCAATAGCTTTGTAGAGAATGTCCTTGGCAATGTTGTCAAGGTTATACTGTCTTTTCTCTTCCTTGGTCCATTCTGACCGGGCTTTCTCAATCATCTGGGGTTGAGAGTTGTCAATAGAGTGAGCAGGATTGATCTTCATGAACTGGATGAAGGGGCCGTTTTCCAAGACTTCCCACATTTCATCATGAAGGGCACATAGGTGTGCCTTCATTCTGATCTTCCAATCATCATACTTCTGATCTGTGAACATAAGATGCTTTGCAAGAGAATTATCCATAATAATAAATAAAGAGAGGCTAAGAACAAGTGGATCTTTGTTCAGAGAGTAACCTAAAAGATTACAAGAACAAGGATGCTCTGATACCACTTGTTGGTCCCGTTTAATATGGTAATCAGTCTAGAGGGGGGGGGGGTGAATAGACTGATTGGTTTTTCAACTTTTTCTCAAAGTCAAAACTGACTTATCAGAGAAGGTCTGATTCTGATGACAGAGAAAGGCTGGTTCTGATATCAGAACTGGCCTTGGCAGCGGATTCTGATCTGTCCGGGTAGCCTCAGAAAAATACTAAGGCAAATGCCTTTCTGATAACTCTGAAAACAAGATCTGCTGAACACAGATTCCAAGTCTTAGAGTTAATCAGTTAATATCCTAGGTGCAGAAATATAAGTTGCAGTAAAGTAAATGACACCGGATATTTTTATAGTGGTTCAAGGAACAACTCGTTCCTCTAGTCCACTGTTCCACTAGCTTTGAAGTAGATCGGTTACAAAGCTAAATCCTAGCACTCAAGAAGCACTCCTCGTCTTCTTCAAGCCTAGATGCCACCCAGGATGCAGTTCCACGTCCTGATGGCTGATCCTTTCACTCAGCTTCCCGGAAGTATCACCACTTCACTACTGCAGTTACTTGGACGCCCTTCTTTTCAGAAGATCCTTTTGAAAAACAGAGTTTTTCCTCCAACTTGCTTCGTTACAAATGATGTTTGATGAAGTTCTTGAAGTGTTGAAGAACAGGATGAACTTTGCTTGTTTGTTGGGGATGAGAGATTTGGAGTTTGAATCTTCCCAACGTAAGCTTGTCTTGTTGAAGGTTGTAGAATTTGAATCTCAAGAGAGCTTGAAAGATGATGTGTAAGAGTTGTAGCAAAGTTGTTTTCCAGTTCTTCGGTGTGTAGCTTATATACTGAGGTTGTCTGCCCGTTGGAGGAGGAGACAACTGCATTAAATGCGCGTACAGTTGACTTGACCGCCGTTTTTGGAAGGTTTCTATTTTTAAAATATATCTTCCCGGATTCCTTGGTCAATCATTTGCAATTAATCCTTCAGCGTATCAGGCTCATTTAATGTGCATTAAATGCTTTCCTTTCATGCACAGTCTTCTAGCCGTTGGATGTTTTTACCCGTTGAATTCATAGCTGTTGGATGTTGCTTGAAAATTTCTAAGTGTTCGTCGAGCTCTGATCAGGCTCTTCTGATATGTTGGATTCTGATGGCTATCTGATGAGTTGAGTTCTGATGGTCTTCTGATCTCTGACTGAACTCTGACTCTGATAGGTCCGCTGATGAGTGCTTCTGATCTGTAGTTCTCATCGGCTATCAGATGTCCAGTCTTATCAGCAACTCTCATGATGCAACTCTGATGGACTTCTGCTAAGAGAACTCTGATGGGGCAGTTCTCATAGAGCAAGTCTGGTCGAGCAGTTCTGATGCACTTCTGATCTGATCCAAAATAGAGCAACTCTGATCGTCGACTACACTAATACTTACAATTGAAAAGTCTAATACATAAAATCTAATTTGGGGGTACTCTAACTTACTAATCCTATAGCATCATCAAAATCTAAATACATTTATTCCTTACAATTTTGGTGGTATACAATCATTGAAGACAATGAAACTCAAAAATAGATATTTTCATTTTGGACAACTCACAACTTGCATGTGCTGCCAACTTAATTAATCTGCAACTCGTGCAGTGACATCTCCGCCGACGCCGGTGTCACTATGATCACCGGAAACGTAAATTTCAATCAAATCTGGCTGCTACCCCAATGACACTGCCACTTTCGCCTCCACCGCCGCCTTCCATTGGCAACATATGCCCGTCAGTGACCACCCTCCACCATCAATCACCATCCCTGCACCATCATCAGTGTTCCAACCCACACACGTCACTCCACCACCACACACACGCCGCCAGCCAAACATCATCATGCACACCTCCCAGTCCTGTCATTGCCAAACAAGCCCCCACCAGCCCCCATCGATGCCCACCACAACCACACAACCCTCCCACGGCCACACCAATCGTACCATTGTCCCGGATCTAACCATAGCCGCCATCTATGTGGATCTAGATCTAACCTTAACCACATTCCCCAGCCTCCGAACCGTTATCGTAGATCTGCAACAGTTTAAGTCAAGAGGGCGCCAAACAGAAAGAGAAGAAAAAGGAAGCGAGGAAGAGCGACACTGAGGGCCACAACGGTGACGATGACAGTGGCGACGGAGACAACCAAGGAAGCAGGGGAGACAGAGGAGATCGATGCTTCTGATGTTCAAGGAGGAGCCTGAGTTTGACGATGCTGCGAGGAAGTAAGGTACAAAGTTGCAGAGATCGTAGCTTGGACGAAGAAGTAAGGTACAGAGTTGCAGAGATCGTAGCTTGGGCAAGGGAAGATGGACAAATTGGGATGAGTTTCCTCTTTATTAAGGTCATATTTTTGTCCGAGTCTAAAATGATCATATTTTTGTCTATTTAAAGTCCCTAGGCAATATTTTAGCCATTCTTTCATTAAAAAAGCACTTTAATAGAGTGGTGTCATTTCCAATTTCCTAACCAAACAAACATGAGCCTCCTTTTAAGCGTTCTTCGATATATTTTAGGTTAAAAGAGCTTATAAATTAAACTATCATTCACATTCTCAAAATCAAACATTTTCAAGAATAGAACCCCTTCAATTAATCCACTGTAAGATCATCATTCTCATCAACCTTGAAATTGTAGTGCACCTACTCAATATACTTCATATGAGAAAAAAAATAGTTATAAAAGAATTAGTTGTATCATAAACTAGAGACTTGTGGAAATTTACTGTCACCTCTAAGCATACACCTAGGCATGGATCGGGACCGGTTCGATCGGCCCGTCACCAGGTCCAAACCGGTACTATTTAGTACCGGCCCGCCGGCAAGGACCGGGACCGGTCCACTGGGCCCGAACCAGAAGGATTTACAGGCGGGATACGGGTGCTGAAAAAAGGGAACCGGCCTGACCGTCCCGGGACCGGTCCAGGCCTTTCATATTTGTTTTTTTTGGGGTTTGGGCCTATGTTAGGTGGGTTGGGTTTGGTGTTTTGGCGGGATTTGGGGGTGGGTGGGGCGGGTAGGAATAAATTAGAAAAGCTATAAAAGCAATTAAATGAACCGACTTGGACCGGTCCCGATAAAATCCCAGACCGGTATTGGGACTTAGGCCCATAAATTTTGTCCCGGTTTTGACCGGTCCGGAGCCCAACTCGGGCTCGGGCCATGCCTACATACTCTAGTGATATAAATATTTTTTTCATATATGTAAGCAGATTTTGCATTTAATTTTTTTTGAACCAATAGAGATATATTTTTTATTGATCAATGGAAAAGCAGTACAGTGCAAAAAAAAGGTAAAAGCAAATGGAGTACAAAAAAAGAAAAAAGAGAATAAACAACATTAAAGAGCCCAAGCAACATAAAAGAGCTAGCCCCATGGGAAATCTCTAGATTGAGACCTTGTTGTCATACTATGACGCCTCTTGTTTTTTGCGATTTCTTGTAAATTTTTAGTTGTGTGTTCAAGTTTTCAGTCGACAAGCAATTTTCTGAGGTAATGAAGTTGGCTTTCCGGCAAATGGCGGTATTGAATTTGGACTTTCTAATTTCTTCTGGGTATGAGATCGGAGGACGACGATCACTTTCAGTTGCATGTCCCAAAAAATCATCTGTGAATAATGAGTCGTCTGAATGATTCTCGGTGCCTACTGCCTGGATTTGATAATTAAATATCAGTTTAGATATGGATGTTGGGTCTCCCGTTTGTAACAAACTCTTGCGTTGAAGAATTATTGAGTCATCCTGCACTGATTGTGAGAGCCCTACATAATCAGAAAAGATATTAAGAAATTTAAATAGGCTCGAATTATTGGATCCCATTGGTATCTGATTGTGAGAGCTCCCTTTACGTTTCGCCATTTCAACATAGTTGCCTCGTCTGTTAAACATTACAGATATCGTGATATCTCCAAATCTTCTTTTTTCAGTAAGTTTTCTCTGATCAGTGTATTTCCAAGCTGGGAGATGAACCTGATTATTTGTGGGACAAGCTCAAATTTGAGTTGAAGTTTATGCAGGAGAGACCTTTTAATTTCAAATAGGATCAAGTCTCCATCACTCCTTGCAAATCTGAAAGTTTTTGTTTCAATTTTGACGGAATCAAAGCCATATTCCCCATCGATTTTGCTTATGGTACACATAGTGTACACAAGTTGTACACAATATATATATATATATATACCTTTTTTTTACCACTTCACTTTAATCTTTTACTCATTTCGCTCTCTCTCTTTCGTTCATTCCCTAATCCCTCATCCCGTTCTTTCTCCTTTCTCTATTTTTTTTTCATTTTCAATCCTTCTTCCATCTAACTTCTAAGCCATTTTCATTCCTTCTCCTCATGTTGTATACGATCCGTTTCTCTATATGGTTGGTCATTCTTCTCAAATCATGAGGTTATATCTATTTCATTTATTCCTTGTGTGCTTTGCTTTTTCTATATATTAGTTTCAATTCTATGTGTATTAGGTATGTTATAACCTTGAATAGTTGATTAATTTGTTTTATTGCAAGAGATTTGAAGTGTTAATTATTGAAATTTTAGGATAATTACTATAGTTCATTTATGCTCATAATATGTTTGTTGAAATGACTCAATGAACTTTTTGTTCAAATTCACAATTTTGTTCTCTTTCTTTTTTGTCAATGTACATTGGTGTATGATGAATTTTAGACTCTATTATTTCTGTTTTGAAATATGACTGATATACTTCGTAGTAATTTTTGATTGATTATTCTTTGATTATTATGAATTTGCTAGATGTTTTTTCTTATAGGGATATATTTCTTTCTAATTTTTCAGATTTTTTGTATTTTACTATAGTGTTAAATGTTTGGTATGATTTTCTTCCATATTCGAAAAAATATTAGGATGCTTTTTATTATGTTTGCAAAATGAGTTCAATTTCTTTTCTACCTTTTGGCCAAGAACTTCTGTATGAGCTGAAACTCGGAGGTTGGTGAAGGGTAAATTTGTTGTTTTTTATTTTTAATCCTCAGTTTTCTAAAATTTGTAGACTTCCCCCTTCCAATGTTCATTGTATATATCTTCATAAACTATGACCATATGAATATACTGCAATGAAATTTTGTTTTTATCTACATGAGCTGCAATATTCAATACTTTCCTCTCAACAAAATATGCTGATGTTTATACTATTTTACATCATATGAAAGAAAATTAAATGTTTTTTCCCATATGAAAATTATGCCTTAGAGTATGCCAAATATGGGTCTATGGGCTGCTGTTTTTAGTCTCTCATGTTGCAGGTTACAATTGACTCATTGAATTTGTATAATTAAAGCCAAGTGTCAAGGAATTTTCGTCAAGGGATTTGACTTCTATACATGCTTCATAATACGTGAGGGAAAATCCTATTATAATATGAAGCACAATGGCAAGGCATGTCCACTGAAGTTAATGTTTACAACAAGCTCCTAGAGTTCCTACAATCAAGGCCAAAGCCAATTGTTAATCCCTATAAGAACATGTCTATATACACTTTGTGAATGCTACTAATTTTTATTCAATTGTGTATTTTAGAGAAATTAGTTTGTTTTGCATGTGATTTGGTAGTTTTGATTGCTCCTAACTTATAGAAAGTGCTCAATTACCTTTTATGAATTTTGACGTTACTGACTTTGTTGCTACTAGGCTCTAAAATAGATGGTGTTGGTTCTGTTTTTTATGCAGGTTCCTTTGAGCTTTTATGTTTTTGTTGATGGTTGTGCTAGGGTGTATGTATTAGAATACTATCCAACATGATTCTCCTGTACCTGTTTGGACAAGCATGGAGTACCGTATCTCCTTTCATGACGTAAAAGAAATCATTTACCATGAATGAGTTTCCACACTTCTCCGTGGAGTTAGTGCAAACATTCTCTTTGGTGTTGCAGGTGTTGGAGTGCTTGTAGGATGTGATCAGCTACACCAAAGTGTATATAGTACTCATTAGAACTTTAAATCTTCTAACAGAGCCTTGTGTTGAATTATATTTCAATATTAGCCAAACCTCTTATATAAGAAGAATGATCTGTGATCCATTGATGTGAAGCAAGGAGAAGTAAACGGGAGACTCCAAATTTCGGGTGAAAAAGTTGATTGTTGCTAGTCATATGTGGAATGTTGTCGTTGTAAAACAATTAAATTGTATTGAATGTATTCAAGAGTTCTTTCAATTTCTTTTAGTTTTAATTGACATAGAAAATTATGAGAAGCCACATCATGTGTCGTTCATAAGCAATCACACTTAACACATTAGCTCGTTTTAGTGATTATTGCTTGTGCCTGACACTTCATGCCTAGTATATAGACAATACCATATTGGATAGACTAATGTGCTAAATAGAATTGTCTCTGGACCCGACTTGAATTGTCCGGTTACCGACATTAACCAATGGATCGGTCTAATATGCTAAGTGAAAATGTCTGTGAACTTTATATAAAGTGTTTGATCACAAACAATAATCACTGGAATAGGCTAATGTGCTAAGTGAAATTGTTTGTGAACCAGATATGAAATGTCTGTCCGCATGCAATAGCCACTGGAATGGACCAATGTGCTAAATGGAATTGTTTGTAAACATTACATTAAATGTCTAGTTACAGACAATAGTCACTCGAATGCGTTAATGTGTTAAATGGAATTGTCTGTGAACATGACATTAAGTGTCTGGCTACAGACAATAGCCATTACAATGGTCTAATGTACTAAACAAAATTGTCTGTGAACATAAGATGAAGTGTCTGGCCACAGACAACGGCCACCGCAATGGTCTAATGTACTAAACAAAATTGTCTGTGAACATAACATAAAGTGTCTGGCCACAGACAATAGCCACTTCAATGGTCTAATGTACTAAACGAAATTGTCTGTGAACATAACATGAAGTGTCTGGCCACAGACAATAGTCGCCGGAATGGGCTAATGTGGTAAATTCAATTGTCTGTGAACATTGCCAAATAGGACATTTAGTTGAAGAAACCACTAAATTGCTAGGCTTTAAAAATAGCGATTCAGAGCATCTTAAAAAGGGGGAAATGTACCAACTGTACATAAATTAAAAATCAACTATATATAGATGATATATATATCAAACACGGCTGATCATTCACGAAACACTTGTATCCCGCCACCGTCATCTATACCGGAAATCTGCAACCCACAGAACTCTATCTTTTAGTAGTACATATGAACCCCTTGAAGATGTAATACTACATATTAAGGAAGCTCAAACGCAGGTGACTGACACTTAATTTATCTCAAACTTCTTCTCATTGCACTTCAGTACTTCAAGCTTCACTAAGATTAGCACTTTATTACTTCAGGCTTCAATAAAATCAGCACTTTAGGTCTTTAGTACTACAAGCTTTACTCCACTTTAGCACTTTCTATCTCATAAAATAAAACAACTAAATTCAGATTCCACACACAAATCAATTTCATTTCCTTGACATGCCATCTTAAAGAGCTCTGCAATGCAAACATAAGCAATACCAAATTGATTTATGAGAAAAGCAATTTGCTAGAAGCTATCCACTGCATTATAGAACCTTGATGGTTCAAAGTTTCAAACTCAACTACGCCATTTGAAACACAAAACAAGAGTATTGAGGTAACAACAAATGATGGATAGTCTACCCGGGGGTATCTTATCCGAGGGGTTATTGCGGGAATAACTTAGAGAGAAGTCAGAGTAAATAGGAGGAGAGAGAGTCGATTGTATTAAATGAACTCGAGATGTGAGATCTGGGATTGTTTACAAGGAGAAATGGGTTGCTATTTATAGCAGCAATAAATGCGATGAGAGTACACATGTCAGTAATCCAACGGCCGAGGGGTCACATCAATCGGGTGGCACCGGCAGTGGCATGTTCACCGCATTGAATGCGGTTGGTGGATGTGACGCTGCATTAAATGCGGTGGTTGGCTGTCTTCAAAGGGAATCTTCGATGATTGAGCCTGTTTGGCCGAAGGCTCCTCGCGTAGCCGAAGGCTTCATGTGGCCGAAGGCTCTGTGCGGCCGAAGGCTTCTCTGATGCCGAGGGCTCAACAGTGCCGAAAGCTCCTGTTTTTCCGCCGTTTTCTCCCAGTGACTTTGCATGCCAAAAAAGTTCATGTTGTGAGTTCTGGAGCCTTCGGCCAAGATGGCCGAAGGCACCCCCGTGTGTATCTCGGGCTTCCTTGAACTTGGGCCACCGTATTTGGGCTTCGGATGCTCCTTGGGCCTTTGTGGGAGAAGTAGGAGTCTATGGGCCGGGGGTTCGTGGGCCATATACTCCATCAACAATAATTACTAAAAGGACATGATTTCTATTCTATCTATTATAAAATATAATGGCAACCGTCTATATAACAACAACAATAAACGTAAAAAAAAAACTTCATCAGTAGAAGAATACCGGCGAAAGACCGCTAACAATAGAAGGGATCCACTTAATTAAGAATAATTACTATTTTAAAGAATAAAATTAGAATCAAAATAACAACAACGAAAAATAAGATACCTAGAATACAAATTGAACTCAACTGTTAACTCTTGGAACTCAATAAAAAGTAGCCTAAAACACTTAAAACATGTCATTCCCATTAACATCTTAATTAAATTAACCCAAAAGGAGCAAAAACATCTTAATTAAATAATCGATATGAATAAAAGAATTCATTCAATCATTTCAGCAAACATGTAATGGGTATACAAATGAAATACAATACTTCAACTATAATTTTAGTAGTTAACATCACAAATCTATACCAATGAAATGAAATAGTCAAAGATTCAACATAGCATATATAATTTACCGTGCAACCGGAGCATGGTGTTCACCATGCTCCACCCCCCAAAACGACGTAGTTTTGATCAAATTAAAAAAAATCGCGTGAACAGTACACGCGTGAACGGTACACGCCTGTACAATATTTTTTTTATTTTCATCCCGGTAGCATGAATGATGTAACTTGTGTATAATTAAATGTAACTCGTGTTGCTACAAATGTAACTTCAGTTAACAACATCTGTAACTTGTACCCTGAAATGTAACTCATGTTTAATGTAAAAAATGAGTTTAATTGTCCAACTATTTTACATAAACAGTGCATATGTTTTGTTTGTAATATCAGGTCCATTAAAATTTATTTTTAATAATAAAATCATTCTTGATTAAAAACAGAGGTTTATTTTGTTGTGTAACTTGCATAGTTTTGTGATGTAACCTGCGTAAGAATGTAAATCAAATGTAAACAAGATGTAACTTTTTGAGAAAAATTGAAATGCAAATCGTGTGTCACAAAATGTAACTTTAGCCAAAACGAAATGTAATTCTAGTGTATGTGAAATGTAACTCTTTTTTTCTTTCTTTCCCCATATTTTGAGAGGATGTTTCATGAAGCTTATAAATCACAATTACATCGTTTACAAAGCCATGCACAGCCGCACAACTCTTGCTACATCGTTTTCATCGTTTACACAGCCATGGATTATCAAAAAATTCAAACCCTAAAGCTCTCTTCAACCTTAGCGAACCAAAGTAATTCTTAGAACTGTAATTGCTTCATGGGATCGAGAGATTCATCACAACTGCTAGTGCTAGGTTTCCGGTTCCATCTGACCGATGAGGAGCTGGTCGTCTACTATCTGCGACACAAAATCCGCTCTCAGCCACTCCGCGTCGATTGCAATCCGAAGTAGATCTATCAATTTGGGGTGCGCCGGTCTGGCACCGTTGGGGAAGGAGACTGAAATAGGAATAAACAGGAACGATGTTTGGGCTGCTTGTTTAAAAAACGGCCGCGATACTGCGTCATTTGCAATCGGGCGCACCATCCTCATGGTGCGCCGGTTGCACGATATAATCTGCGAGAAAAATCAACCCTATATGAACATAAAAACAAGAATAGATTATTACCTTAATAATCATAACTTTTCAAATGGAAGTTAATAATTATAGCCAATCAACAACGCTCCATACCGGAATAAAGAAGCTGGAGATCCGCAGAACATCGGGTCAAACACTCGTTTCTATTCTCTGTGACTTGCCACTATTCACGACATCACTTGCTTCTCGCTGCAAAGGCTCCTCGATGGAGGAGTAGAAGTGCTGACCGGAATTGATATTTGAAGCTGGGATGAAGGAAATTTGAAGATCAATTGAAATTGAAGAAAAAGTTAGAAGAGAGGTGGGGGTTGTGTGTAGCCCACAGAGAGAAAAGAAAAGAGAGAGGAAGGAGAAGGTAAAGGGGTGAGAGAAGGGTAAAAAATGAAAGGGGAATGGTAAAAGCAAACAAAAAGATATTTATTTGTACAATACATTTTCAATTCCCCATAGGAGAATTTTTCGTTGAAAAATTCTTTTGGTACACTTTGGGTTACACCTTAGTGTACACCCTATATAATCCCTCATTTCTTATTTCTCCCCTCCCAACTTTTTTCTCTCCCCTCTCTCCCACTCTCTTCTCTCCACTCCTCTCCCATTTGAATCATACGGTTCCCCCTCCCTCCTCTCTTTCTTCTTTCCTTTTCTTCTTCTTCAACATCTTGTTCTTTCTTCTTTCTTTCTTTCTTTCTTTCTTTCTTTCTTCCTTTCTCCTTCTTCATCTTCTTCTTTCCTTCTCTTTTTGAGGTTTTGTTCACCCTAATCATCTTCATCACCATGTTCTTCTTTTTCTTTCCTTCTCACTTTTTACGTTTTATCCACACAGAAACTGGTTTGCTATAGTGTCTGTGTACACAGACGAAAATTGAATATATACAGACACTTTTTTATACAAGACAACTAGCGTCTGTGTACACCGACACTTGTTTTCCAACTAATTTTTTCACACCGACACTTTTTTGTCTACACAGACAAGTAGACAACTATCGTCTGTGTACACCGACACTTGTTTTCCAACTATTTTTTTCACACCGACACTTTTTTGTCTACACAGACTACTAACGTCTGTGTACACCGACACTTGGTTTCCAATTAATTTTTCACACCGACACTTTACACAGACAACTAATGTCTGTGTACACCGACATCGGTTTCCGTGCAACCAACCTGACAAATCTGGAAACTAATTTTACTCACACCGACACTTTCAAAGAAAGTGTCTGTATTTGTGTGTTTTTTGTCCGTGAGAAGGGCAAATAAATGGGTGTACCCGAGGGTGTAACGCAGGGTGTACACCAAGAACTATTGTTTTTCGTTCATGACTTGAGGATCTACTGGAGCTTGATTTATTTCCCTCGTGATCAATTGCACAGTGTCAGTACAATTTTTTACTCCTGAGTGCTTGGACGGTCAAATTGAGGAAGAGGAATTACAGCAAGATTGGAAATTATACGTAGTATTGAACATCGAAGGGCCCTCGTCCGTAGTGTTCTTCAACAAATCAGCCCATGTGAGGCCTATGGGTGTTGCAGTTGTCCTAGCCCCCACCACCCCGCTATTGGCAGTAAGCAAGGCTGGTGTTCCTGTAACTGTATCCGCTGGATCCTTCAGCGCTGCGATTGACGGGCTTCCCGTCGCCGGAGAAGCTTGTGCCTTTCCGTCTCTCCTGCCTACCGGTTCTGTCGCCGGGAGATTTGCAGCTGGCGGACTTATCTTCTCCACTTCCCCGTTCTTTTGAGAGATTAGATGCTCTCCGGTCCGGCGCACTCGGCCGCCCCTACCGATTGGTTTCCCCGACCGCTGCTTAGTAAAGGGGAAATTTCTATTTATTAGGATAGTATTTTTTGGGGATATTATTTTTGTATTCTATTTATGCTTGGACTCTATTTTAGGGTACGCATGATTTGTTCCCATATTTACTACTGCCGTATCTCTTATTGAACGGCACAGCTCTTGTATAAAACGGGGGGCTTACCTTCGTAATTGACAAGAGAGAAGAATAGAAAAGGGTTTTCTCTACTATTTTCTTCCGCACATATACTTGTTTACATGGTATCAGAGCCTCTTATGCGCTGAAACTCACGCATGGCGATCCAGGACGAAGAACACACTAAGGAGGATCCGCCGGCGAAGATTGATCCTACATCGCCGTATTATCTAGGACCTCAGGATCGGCCGGGGGATACTATTACCCCGGTGAAACTCACAGCGAATAACTATGAGGATTGGTCGAATGCTGTGCGTCTGGCTCTCAGGGCTCGACGGAAATATATTTTCGTTGATGGTAGTATCACGAAACCGGCACCCCCATGTACCGAAGATGACTGGCTTACGCTCCACTCGATGATTGTTTCATGGTTATTGAATACAATCTCACCTGAAGTGCGTGGAACGCTTTCATGCTATGAGGATGCGGCGAAGCTGTGGACGGACCTCAAGGAGCGTTTTTCCTCAGTTGACGGTCCACGGATCCATCAGGTTAAAACAGATTTGGCCAGATGTATTCAAACCAAAGGGATGTCAGTTGGCACCTATTACGCCAAATTGCAAAGTTTATGGGATTCGTTGAACAATTACGAGCCGTTGATTGCTTGCAAATGCAATCGATGTACTTGTAATGTTCTTGGTCAGCACGAGAAGCGGAGAGCATCGGAACAAATGCATCAATTTTTGATGGGATTGTATACGGATTTTTTTGGACTTACCCGATCACAGCTCTTGCTGCAGACTCCACTGCCTACGTTGAACCGAGCTTATCAGCAGGTTACACAGGAGGAAAGAGTTCGTGGGATGGTGCAGACGCAGGACGAACGACCGGAAGTTCTGGGTTTTGCTCTCCGAACGGACGGAAAGGGTGCTGGAAGAGGAACAAAAATTGATAAGTCTGGGCTAATTTGTTCTTATTGCAAATATTCCGGTCACGAAGTGGCAAACTGTTTTGAGCTGAACGGATATCCGGACTGGTGGGGTGATCGACCTCGTCCCGGAATCAAAGGAGCTGGTAAGGGACGGCCAACAAACACCAGCAGTGGTCCTTCACGCGGCAAGACAGTGGCAAAAGCCCATGCCATGGTAGCTGCAGATACTACGAATAAAGAAAGTGAGAGTGTTGGCAGCTCTTCAGTTCCGTTGCCAGGCTTCTCTCAGGAGCAGTGGAAATCATTGATCTCTTTTCTTGGTAATCTGCCTAATTCTAATGACCGCATGGCTGGTGAGTTTAATACTAAAATGTGGATTATTGATACCGGCGCGACTAATCATGTTTGCGGAAATTTATCCTTGTTACATAACATTAAATCTATTAATCCATGCTCTGTGGGTTTGCCGGATGGCCAAAATGTTATGGCTGTACAGGAAGGGCGAGTGATTTTGACGGATAATATGCAATTAAATAACGTGCTTTTTGTCCCAGAGCTACGTTGTAATTTAATATCCGTCTCACAATTGTGTAATCAATTAAATTGCTTTATTCAATTCACTTGTGATTTGTGTGTTATACAGGACCGTCCCTCGAAGAGGCTGATTGGAACGGGTGAACAACGGAATGGACTGTACTACTTGCGAGAGGGACCTTCGGCTCATGTTATGTCCGTCAAGGATACCAGGAACTCAGTGGTGGAATTGTGGCATCAACGGTTGGGGCATCCATCATCGCAAGTGACTGAAAAATTGGCTCCTGTAAGTGGTTTGAAGCATACCGGAGATCTGCCCTGTGATATTTGCTTTAGAGCTAAGCAAACTAGAGATTCCTTTCCTACTAGTTTGAATAAAACTCATACAATTTTTGAATTAGTTCACTGTGATTTATGGGGTCCATATAATACCCCTTCTTCTTGTGGTGCTACACATTTTTTAACTATTGTGGATGACTATTCTCGTGCTGTTTGGGTATATTTGCTTCTTGATAAAAAGGAGGTTTTTAAAATGTTTCTCACATTTGTGGCTATGGTGGAGCGTCAATTTTCTAAGAAGATCATCACTGTGCGCAGTGACAATGGGACCGAATTTAACTGTTTAAAGGATTTTTTCCGCACTAGTGGTATTGTTTTTCAAACCTCTTGTGTTGGGACTCCCCAACAGAACGGACGAGTTGAACGCAAACATAGGCACATTTTGAATGTTGCTCGAGCGTTGCGTTTTCAGGGCCATTTACCCATTTCTTTTTGGGGAGAATGTGTTCTAACTGCTTCTTATATAATTAACCGCACCCCCTCGGCGATTCATGCCTACAAAACCCCTTATGAAATTTTATTTGGCGTTCCGCCATGCTATGATTCTATGCGTGTTTTTGGATGCTTGTGTTATGCATACAATTTGCGCTCCAAGGGTGATAAATTTTTGAGTAGAAGCAGAAAATGTGTATTTGTCGGTTATTCGTACGGAAAAAAAGGATGGAATGTTTTTGATCTCGAGACACACGAATATTTTGTATCTCGGGATGTAAAATTTTTTGAACACATTTTTCCCTATGATACGAATACTGCCTCTCCGAATGCTACTCCTCCAGACACAGTGGATTTGCCGGTGTTTGACTATGATGATTTTCATTCCCCGGCTATTACACCCACGTCGGATTCTTCACTGCATGGTGCTTCGGATACCACTCCTGCAGGTTCCACGGATGCTGTTGTTACTCACTCGGATGAAGATACAGCACCCGACGCCACCCTTGCACACCAGCAACCTCTCTTGGGCCGAGGACAACGACATCGAACTCCTTCTGTCCGTCTAAAGGACTATGTTACACATACCGTGATCCAAAACAGTCCATTCCCCGTTCACTCCACTCCATCATCTTCTTCAGGTACGCCGTTCCCTATAACTCATTTTATTACTTGTGATGCCTTTTCTCCCCAACATCGCACTTTCTTAGCAGCATTGCACTCCATCTCGGAGCCTCAGTCCTTCCATGAGGCGGTCACAGATGAGGGATGGCGTAATGCAATGAGAGCCGAGATTCAGGCTTTAGAAAAAAATGCCACTTGGAGCCTTGTTCCGCTTCCTCATGGCAAACGAGCATTGGGGTGTAGATGGGTTTATAAAATTAAACACAAATCTGACGGTACAATTGAGCGTCTCAAGGCTCGTCTGGTTATATTTGGCAATCGTCAAGTTGCTGGTCTTGATTATACTGAGACATTTGCCCCGGTTGCTAAAATGGTGACTGTCCGTGCATTTCTAGCTGTTTCTGCTTGTAAAAATTGGGAGTTACACCAGATGGATGTTCATAATGCATTTTTGCATGGTGACTTGAATGAAGAGGTATACATGACCGTTCCGCCGGGCTATCGCACGCAGGATCCAACTCTGGTTTGTCGTCTCCACAAGTCCTTGTACGGTCTCAAACAAGCTCCCAGATGTTGGTTCGCCAAATTGGTCACGGCTCTTAAAAATTATGGCTTTCTACAGTCCTATGCGGATTACTCCCTATTCACGTTTACTCGTGGCGAAACTCAACTTAATATTCTGGTCTATGTTGATGATCTTCTTATTGCAGGGAATGACAGCGTTGCCATCTCTCAGTTCAAATCCTACCTTAATTCTTGTTTTCATATGAAAGATTTGGGAAAGCTTAAATATTTTCTGGGCATTGAAGTGGCTAGAAGTTCCACTGGGATCTTCCTTTCTCAACGCAAGTATGCTCTGGACATTATCACTGAAACTGGTCTTTTGGGGGCCAAACCCGCCGCATTCCCAATTGAACAAAATCATGGTCTCGGCCAAGCTACTGGAGCCTCACTGACCGATCCCGAGCCATATCGACGGTTGGTTGGTCGTCTTATTTACTTGGCGGTCACTCGACCCGACATTACTTATTCTGTGCATATATTGTCCCAATTCATGCATGCTCCTCTCACCGAGCATTGGTCTGCTGCATTGCGGGTTGTACGCTATCTCAAAGGCTCTCCCGGACAGGGTATTCTCTTGAGAGCCGATAGTGACCTTACTCTCCAAGGTTGGTGTGACTCGGACTGGGCTGCATGTCCCCTTACTCGGCGGTCTATCTCAGGTTGGTTGGTCTTTCTGGGTCATTCTCCTATTTCTTGGAAAGCCAAGAAACAATCTACCGTGGCCCGTTCATCTGCTGAAGCTGAATATCGATCCATGGCATCCGCCACTTGTGAACTTAAATGGTTAAAGGCGTTGCTTTTGAGCTTGGGTATTCAACACCCTCAAGCTATACCGCTCTACTGTGATAGTCAATCTGCACTACATATTGCTAATAATCCAGTTTTTCATGAACGCACTAAACACATTGAGGTTGACTGTCACTTTGTTCGTGATGCTGTTCAAGCTCAACTTATTTCACCACATTATGTGCCTACGACTGTGCAACTGGCGGATATATTTACCAAAGCACTCGGGAAAAATCAGTTTCAGACTCTTCTGCACAAGTTGGGCATTCTGAATCCCCATGCTCCAACTTGAGGGGGGTATTAGGATAGTATTTTTTGGGGATATTATTTTTGTATTCTATTTATGCTTGGACTCTATTTTAGGGTACGCATGATTTGTTCCCATATTTACTACTGCCGTATCTCTTATTGAACGGCACAGCTCTTGTATAAAACGGGGGGCTTACCTTCGTAATTGACAAGAGAGAAGAATAGAAAAGGGTTTTCTCTACTATTTTCTTCCGCACATATACTTGTTTACACTATTTTCTCTGTAGTTCAGAGAATAGTCGCAACAGTTGTACAAATTTGGCCTCTCATTGTTAAAATTGAGAGGAGTAGGTTCGCATTCCATGTCTAATATGAAATATCGATTAGAGTTACCTACTGTCCTGAGTGTGTGGCGCTCCTGATTTGCAGTTGGCTGATGTGGTAGTGAGAGTTTGATCGGTGCTGAGTGGTGTGTTGAAGTTTCCGGCGTATATCTGGCCCACAGTTCTTCATACATGATTATTTGAGGTCATGGGTGGTTGGCCGGAATTCTAGTGAGAAGTGGGGGATTCTCACTCATGATTATGACAGCTTAGATTGAATTTATATATATGCACATACCTAAATGTTCTTCCAAAATATAGGGACGGAAGGAGTAATATTTTTCATTTTTAATACTCCCTCCGGTTTTTAATAAACTTCACACTTTCTTTTTTGGGACGTTCTAAAATAAACTTCACACTTCCTTATTTTCTTTTTTGGCAAAGAAATCTACATCAAAACAGTGTCAAACAGTGTCTCAACAGTGCCAAACAGTGTCTCTACAGTGTCAAACAGTGTCAAACAGTGCCTCAACAGTGTACTCTACAGTAAAGTCAAATTTCTTTCCTTATTTTTTGTGAAGTCAAACTGTGAAGATTAAAAAAAAATCGTAGTATAACTTTAATGACTTAATAGTGAAAAACAAAAACACATGCTACATTTTCAAATTTTGGAATCCTTACACATCATCACCATCATCACCACCACCACCATCATCATCATTATCAATATCACCTCAGTGCTGCAAAGCCCCCCGACCACCTATGATGGGGTAAGAGGGTCAGATGTACGCAGTCTTACCCTTGTACTAAAGCACAAAGAGTCTCTTTCCGAATGACTCAGGATGAAAATCGTAAGAAATTGGATGAATTGATTGTTGCTTCCTAACAAAGAAGCGCAGACAGTTTGATGAATCATTTTGCTTTATTCCATCATATTCCCAAGCAAAAAAACAGTGAATCTATGACTCCATTGCAAATGATGGAAAATGAAATTGTCACATATATTGGACATAATCAAACATACAATGCAATACATTTATAGCAATGCACTGCGTTATGAAATGTCACACAATGTTGCTACGAAGAAATGCCTCAAAAGAAATTATCGCATGTTTCACCATTAATAAATCCCATAACGGTATCCTTCTTATCCCTGTAAAGCTTTTTGGACTAACAATATAGCTAAGAAGACTGCTCAAATGAGCTAATCAAATCCTCGCACAAGTAACTGACTATACAAGGTAAGCCCTTATTCCACACAAGAACAAAAGATAATTGCATCCATACATGGATGCAATTACATGTGGATAATTTTGGCACTATATTACTCAGCAATAAATTATTTAATCAATCTCAACTGCGCTTTCTCTATTAGTAGTAGGCATCTTGTCATTCAGCTCACGACCCTTTGTCTCAAAGGGGAAAAAGATAACACAAACGCCCGATATGAAGATGACAAATTCAAACAGCCAGATGGCCAGTGTCTGATGGCATCCATGTATCAGCCCAACTGCAACTATAGGGCACACAATCCCCCCAATTCTTGCCACTGAGCTTGCAATTCCAAAGCCCGTGGTCCTAACCGTTGTTGGGTATACCTACACAGGATTGGAGCCATGTGTTATTTTAGAAGTTTCACTAATAATTACAGAGTACTTTAATAGGATTAGTAGTCCAATACGACTCTTTGGTTATTTAGGGGGTATTTGGAACTAATTCTGCTTCTGATTCTTTTTTAAAACAGAATCAGAATAAGTTTTAAGAAGCTGGTCTCCCCCAACTTCTAAAAAATCTACCTTGGGAGTAAAGTAGAGCACCAGAAGTACTTCAACACTTTCACCCAAACATTCCAACTTTTGCTCCTTCATAAGGAGCAGAAGCAGTTTTAAGAATCAAATCCAAACATCCCCTTAATATTTCCCAATATGGGATGACTTAAAACTTAGAACATACCTCTGGGGCATATATATATACTATTGTGAAGGTTGCTGTGATACACGTACGAGCTCCAAATAGAAGTCCTGTTGTTAACCCTTTGGATTGAGAATGAATGAGCGGGAGAAGAAAAATGCAGCATGCGAAGAACAGAGACGCCATTGAATGTTTACGGCCGATTTTGTCGATCATTAGAGCGGATAGGATAAGCCCCGGGATTTCTTCAAATAGCAAAC